GGGAGGAGGAAGACCAGGAAATTAACAAGAGAATAAGAAGCAGAAAGTACTAGCCACCTACCTAGGGTGTGGGTGCTTGGTCTGGGGATCCGCAGGTGAGGTGAGGGAGCAAGGTGCCACAGGCTCGGTGGCTGCCCAGGGCCCTGCCACTGTGTCTGTGACATGCTGCTGGGGACAGGAGATGCTGTGGGAGGGAGAAGACCAGGAAACATCCAAGAGAATAAGAAGCAGAAAGTATTAGCCAACTACCTAGGGGGTGGCACTTGGGCTTGTGGTCTGCAGGTGAGGTGAGGGAGCAAGCAATGATTCTGGCTCCAGATCACTGCCTGGCCAGATGCCAGCCACTGGTTCTGTGGCCTGCTGCTGGGGACAGGAGAGGCTGTGGAAGAAGGAAGACCAGTAAATTACCAAGAGAATAAGAAGCAGAAAGCACTAGCCTCCTACCTAGAGGTGGGAGCTTGGGCTGGGGGTCTGCAGGTGAGGTGAGGGTGCAAGCAATGCCCCTGCCTCTGGATCACTGGCCTGCCCATAAGCCTTCCACAGCTACTGTGGCCTGCTGCTGGGGGCAGGAGAGGCTAAGGGGTGGGCTCTTGGCCTGGGGGCCTGCAGGTGAGGTGAGGGAGTAAACAATGCCCCTGCCTCCTGATGGCTGGCTGGTCAGAGGCCTACAGCTGGTTCTGCAGCCTGCTACAGGGGACAGGAGAGGATGTAGGAAGAGGACACCAGAAAATTAACAAGAGAATAAGAAGCAGAAAGTACTAGTCACCTACCTAGAGGCAGGTACTTGGGCTGGGAGGTCTGCAGGTGAGATGTGGGAACAAGCAGTGCTTCTGCCTCAGGACTGTAGGCTGGCCAGAGAAGAGCCCTGCCTCTGGGTCTGGGGCCTACTGCTGGGAACAGGAGAGGCTGTGAGAGTAGTAAGACCATGAAATTAACAAGGTAATAAGAAGCCACCTACATAATGGGCTGGGGTCTGCAGGTGAGGTGATGGAGGAAGCAATGCCCCGGCTCTGGATCCCAGGCTGGCCAAAGGCCTGCCGCTGGTTCCGTGGCCTGCTACTGGAGACATGAGAGGGTACAGGGTGGGTGCTTGGGTTTGGGGTCTGCAGGTGAGGTGAGGGAGTAAGCAATGCCCCTGCCTCCGGATCGCTGCCTGGCCAGAGGTCAGCCACTGAGTTTGTGGCCTGCTTCTGGGATAGGAGAGGTTGTGGGAGGAGGAAGACCAGAAAATTAAGAATACAATCCAAAGCAGAAAGTACTAGCCACCCACCTAAGGGGTGGGCACATGGGATAGGGGTCTGCAGGTGCGGTGAGGGAGCAAGCAATGCCCCTGCCTTCAGATCCCTGTCTGGCCAGAGGCCTGCTGCTGGGTCTGTAGATTGCTGCTGGGGACAGGAGAGTTTGTGGGAAGAGGAAGACCAGGAAATTAACAAGAGAATAAGCAGCAGAAGAACTTGCCACCTACTAAGGGTGTGGGAGCTTGGACTGGGAGTTTGCAGGTAAGGTGAGGGAGCAAGCAATGCCCCTGCCTCTGGATCGCGTACTGAGGCCTGCCTCTGTTTCTGTGGCCTGCTGCTGGAGACAGGAAAGGCTAGGGGGTGAGAGTATTGACTGGGGGTCTGGAGGTGAGGTGATGGAGCAAGCAATGCCCCTGCCTCCGGATCGCTGGCTGGCCAGAGGCCTTCCGCTGGGTCTGTCACCTGCTGCTGGGTACAGGAGAGGTTTGGGTGTTGGCACTTGGGCTGGGGGTCTGCAGGTGAAGTGAGAGCCAAGCAATGCCCCTCCCTCTGGATCGCTGCCTGGCCAGAGGCCTGCCCCTTGGTCTACAGGAAAGGCTAGGGGGTTTGCAGGTGAAGTGAGGGAGCAAGCAATGCCCCTTCCTCCGGACTGCTGTCTGGCCAGAGGCCTGCCGCTGGGTCTGTGGCCTGCTGCTAGGGACAGGAGAGGCTGGTGGTGTGCGCTTGGGCTGGGGTTCTGCATGTGAGGTGAGGGAGCAAGCAATGCCCTTGCCTCTGGATTGCTGGCTGGCCAGAGGCATGCCACTGGGTCTGTGGCCTGCTCCCTGGTGACTTTCAACTCTCAATTTGCTGGCTGGCATGTCATTTAGCATGTAAATAACAGGATGAGGTTTTAAGTCTTTAGAGGGCATTACGGTGTGTTTTGCTACTTTAAAATAAATTTTAAAACATCGTTCATTGTTGCAAACATGGGCAATATGGGGTGGGTGAAAATTCCATTTTCCTATAACTCTGACACATGAAAAATAGGTACCTCTTTATGGTGACAAAGCCTGAGATTGATAGAATCCACCCAACTGTTCCAGTATCCTTCTAGCCCATTTCTTTCATACCTCTTTCATTATCAGTTAGTTCAAGGACTTATTACTTCAAGAGAAATGCATGATGGGGGATAGATTATACTCCCAATGAATTGTATTCCCACCCCAATGTCAGGAGAATATCCAGATTCAAGTCAACTATAAAATAACGCAGTTCCTAAAGCCTGCCCATCAGTTTAATACCTAACCATGCAAGGAATGTGGGAGATAAAGACAGAAAAAATGGAGTAATGAAAAAAGGGAAAAATGGAAAATTTGGTTGGGAGCTCCAAAAAGAACTTGTATTTACACCAAAAGGGGAAGGGGAGCATGTAAAGATTTTAAACAGAAAAAGGGCACTAAATTCTCTTATTTTGGTGGCTAGTATGTGACATGGTAGTTAGGCAGTGGACTCCACACATGGATGACAGTTTTAAATCAGAAATAATTACAGTAAACAAGTATAGAGGTAAATTGGGTCTCTGAAGTTTCAGAATCTGGTAATATGAACATGACCAAGAAATTCAATGTGAGTTTTTTTTGTTTTTTTTTTTTTTGAGAGGTTTTTGCTACAGGGCGTGTGCGCTCACCAGAGACAGAGATAGAAAGCGAGAAATCACTCCTCCCCCCGCACGGGGGATGGCCACACCGCAGTCCCTTCTCCTCCATTCTCCTCTCGGGATCTTGGGCATGCATCCACACATGCCCAATGTTGAGTTTTAAGCCACCAGGTCCGGGACTCAAACCTCGGTTGACTACATGGGAGTCCAGCGACATAGACATTATGCTAACTGCTGGTCCCTTAATGTAAGTTTTATAAGTTCTATTACATAGTGCTAGATTGGGGACTTGGAGCTATGATAGTAGACAAAGAACTAAATTTGTGTGCAAACCTCAGGTACTTGAACAGTCGAAATAGAGGACAGATCCTGCCCAGGGTCCTTCAAAGCAGTCCTGATAGAAATGTGACTGTGATACAAGTTCTCCCCTTTATCTAGAAAGCTAATACCACCCAGTAGAGCTAATAATACCACCGTTTTCTCTACCTCTAATTTTTCATTCTGCTGGGTACAGAAAGACTGAAGAATGTATTCATCTGAGAGGCCATACTCAAATCATTAATGGGACCAGCAGATAGCAAAATGTTTACCTGGCTGGACTCCCATGTAGCCAACCATGGTTTGATGATTTAATACACATGCGAGGGGTGTTTGCTTATATACCTCAAATTCCTTAGAATGAAGGGAATGTGGTGTGACCATCCCCCCCCAAGGAGTGATTTCTTGCTTGCTCTCCAGTAGCTCTCTCATGTGAGCACACATATCCTATAGCAAATATTAAAAAAAAAAAGAACATGGTCATTATTAGGTGGACAAGTGTATGTACTATGCCTGGAGGTTGGAGCTGATCGAGATGACTGGGACAGTGCAGCCAAAACAAGGGCAGACCAAGCTATTTATGATACTGAGGTCTTGCTGGAGAAATAAAAAACATTCCTAAGTGGATTTGAAAGACTCTGGTTGGGTAAAATAGTGGTATCCAAAGCTAGTCCCAGGAGAAAGATAAAAGTGGTCAACACTGATGCATCTAGAGAGTTTAGTTAAAAGACAAAAGACACTGCAGTCCTTATGAAGCTGGTGATAGGACTCTTGTTGTCTAGGTACTGATCTAACTATTCCCTAAATGACTGTATATTCTAAAACAGAGAACCTGTAGCTGAATAAACCAGGACTAGTAGGACATTTTTTGTAGTTGTTCCCAACCACAAAACAAAGGTAGGTTATGTTTTGTGCCCTGGTAATTCCTATTCTTTCAAAGCTTTTTATCTCCCTACAGCATGAATCAATGGTTATGAAGGACAGGATCCAAAGTGGAATAAGACCAAGCTTATCAGAGGGAGGTCTCAAGATCTAAATCATATATTCAACTAATGTAAAAACAAGTACAGCCCATACTAGTGCCAAGCATTAAACACTTTACAGACATGACATACCCGTTTTTCCCAACTTTTTGCTTCTTTATTACACAGGTGAAGAATCTGGGAGACAATTACAAGCGCAGACAAGATACACAATACAATTCAGACCCATACAGCCAGGTCTAGAATCTTAAATCAGTGTGGCAAGAAGCTCAAAGTAGGAAAGATGTATTACGATTTTTTGGGAAGGGAACAAGAGGTGTATGTGCTTGCCAAGAGGGACAGAGTGAAGGAGAAAGCACTCCTCAGTGGATAATTTATGTCTAGCATATTCCTTAACTGATGGGCCTGGGATTCCCAACTGCAGTCAGCCATGTAGTAAAAGGATTGTTTTATCACTGAGTCAAAAGCTAGCCCACAGCTAGATTTCACACACAGAACAAGTTCTGGTGTAAACAATTAGGGCAAGAGGAAATGAAAACCCCACATTTACTAGAAAAGTGAATTCAATCTTCTGTTACGTAGCCATGGATAGTGGGCAAGTTCTATGCTACTAGTGTGGTATTCATTCTTTTGGACACATTTATTACCTTAACCTGTGCCCTGTAGGAGTCCATTCCTACCCAGAGATAACAGGACACTGGACCTTGCCACAACAAGGACACACTACTACTGTGTAATTCTTTATTATGAATTCAAATTCTCATCACAATAGAAGGAAAACATCAAAAATAAGGTTTATTGAAAAAAGGCATGTGACCCTGGAGGGGCTCAGCTCTTGTCACAGCTAGAATGGATCTGGAAGTACACTGTTGGGGCCTAATATAAATGATGGCCAATGGTCAGCGGATGATGTATCGTACATAAGGAACTTCAATGTCCTCTCCACTCTCATCGTTGCAACACAGCTCAAGTACCAGGGCCTGTATGTGGTGGCCGAGTTTTCGCTTTGACACATGACTCACGATCTCTGTCATCCTAGGGACAAGACACCAGAAATCACATTGAGAAAGGCAGATGAGGGCAGAGAAGAAAGAAAATGAACAGATCAGTGTAATTAGAAGTTCCAGACTCCCATTCAATACAGGGCCTCCCCCAGAATGTCAAGCTGCCAACTTACGGCTGGTCCAACCGTTCTTTCAGCTTGGTAGCAGGCATAAAGAAGGAATACAGCATGGATACCCCATGGGAGAGCATGGTGATCTCCAATTTGTGCTCTTTCTGGCAAGAGTAGGATGGAAGAGGAGAGAACAATCTGAGATGAACACACAAATCATCTGCACAACTACCATCTACATGGTTAGGGAGGAAGAGGGGATTTACCTTAAAGTAGTTTAGGAACTGCCTGAGGGTCATCTCCTCTCCATTAGCCTGTAATCCTTGTACATCAAAGCGATCCCACAATGTCCACTCTCTATTATAGTACTAAGGAATAAAGAATAGAGTGAGTTAGTGACCTCAGGAGACCTTACCCTTCTCAGTAAACCTTACACATTGTATCAGACTAACTGTAACTGTCTTTCGTTCAAAACTTTTCCATGATTTTATTACATCTTTAGTAAATAGCTGAAATCTTTATAATGATCAACAAAGCCACACACCAATGAGAAATGTCTCTTTCATCCACCTCCAATCCCCTTTACTTTAGCTATTAATGTCCTGTTAAGTACACTTTCCCTCTTTATCTCTGAAATGTACCAGTCACATTCCTACTTTGTACAGATGCAAAAAATTATGATAAACAGAAAATACACAAATTACAAAAAAAGTTTAAGTACACAGGGCTGGCAGGTGGCACAGTGGTTAAGGGTGCTGGACTCCCATATAGCCAACCAGTTTAAATGCTGGACCTGGTGTTTGTTTTTTCTCTCTCTCTCTCTCTCCCCCCCCCTCTCTCTCCCCCTCTTGTATCCCACTCTATCTTTCTCTGATGAAAGAAAGAATAAAGAGGAAAAAAGAAGGAAAGAAGGAAGTAACACTCCCTGATGGCCAACATCAGAGGCTTCTGCACATGCAAGCCCTTACCTGGTGATAGGGTGGAGCAAGAGGCTCAGAGAAACTGAAGAAGGGTATGGCCAAGTTGATGAAGCCATTCTTATAGGACTCCAGCTGTCTGTGCCCCTGGACCACCTTATATAGCTCTAGACATACAAGGCCAACAATAGCTGCTGTCGTTGTGGCAATAGCTGGGATGATCCTTCCTGCAATTAGCTTGCTCTATGAGACAGGAGGAGATGAGCAGAGGTAGTCATTATAGAGTTGGAGCTTAGAAAAGGGTCAAATATGAGTGTGTCAAAATGTGGAAGACTCGAGTTTGAGAAAGAAAGTTTAAGTTGAGCATGCCATTACCTTATGCCTGTCTGCAGGGGGAATATCATAGTTTTCTGCTCGGAGGTTGGATGCAGCAACAATAAAATCAATATGGAAGTTGCTGTCATCATCCTGTTGTGGGTGGGTGGGAGAAAGAAGAGGGGAAGGAGGGTCAGAAGACAAAATTATTTTCAGGCTACTGAGGACACAAGGACCTTCCACAAAATTACCTGCCAAGGACCAACACCTACTGCAAGCCCATAATTCTAAGAAAATGACTGAGCCACTGTCAGTGCTCCCCCTCCCCACCTCAGAGTTCTAACCCAGCACCTTCTCAAAGTCAATAGGGTACATCTTGAATCCAGAAAGTTTGTCTGGACTGGGAAGTGTGACCGTGAGCTCTTTCAGTTGGCTGTCATCTGCAGAAAGAGAGAGAATACCGTCAATCATTTGGAATGCAAGCTAGAGTAGGACAATAAAGCAAGATTCTTGAGTGGATCAGAATTTGTTCTTGTAGATAAAAGACATAAAGAGGAGATACTCTGGGAAACAGTGGGGGAAGAAATGTAGAACAGAAAACATCTCAAAAAGAAAAAGACACACAAGTATGGGGAACACAGAAACACTTAAGTCTGGAAACTCTGAGAAACAGAAAAAAGGCTATTAAAAAAGGATATAGGATTATTCACAATGGTAAAAAGGGGTAAGTGGCCCAAAATTATCAACAACTGATCAATGGATATACTGCATAGGATACAAACATACATGGATTGCTATTTAGCCTTAAAAGAGAAGGAAGTACTGACGTTCTCCAACACAGATGGACATTACGCTGTGAGAAATAAAGCCGGTCACAAAAATACAAATACTAATTCCACTAGAATTAGTGGAATGAGGTACCTAGGCTGTCAAACTACATTCACAAGGGACCAGCAGTTAGCGTAATGGCTATGTCACTGGACTCCCATGTAGTCGACCGTGGTTCAAGTCCCGGACCCGGTGGCTTAAACTCACGCCGGGTGCGTGTGCGTGCGTGCCCAAGATCCCGAGAGGAGAGTGGAGAAGGGATTGCGGCGTGGCCATCCCCCCTGGGGGGGTGATTTCCTGCTTTCTGTCTGTCTGTCTGTCTGGCGAGCACCCATGCCCTATAGCAAAAACCTCTCAAAAAAAAAACTACATTCACAGACAGAACAAGGAGGAAAAACAGTAAGAATGATGTTCAAGCATCATAGTTTTACAAAATGATAAAGTTCTAGAAACTAGATGAAGAATAGCGTTAACACTACTGAAAAGAACACTTAAAAACAGAGAGGATAGGAACCAGCAGTTGGTGTAATGGCTATGTCATTGGACTCCCATGTAGTCGACCATGATTTAAGTCCCAAACTCAATGACTTAAACTCACGCAGGGCATGTGTGTGTGCATGCCCAAAATCCTGAGAGGAGGAAGGAAAGGGGATTGTGGTGTGGCCATCCATTCTGGGGGTTGATTTCTCACTTTATATCTTTCTGCCTCTCTTTTTCCAGTGAGTGCGTGCACCCTATAGCAAAAAACACCTCTCCCAAAATAAAACAAGAAACAGAGAGTATGGCAAACCTTTGCAAACTTTAACTACCATTAAAAAAATAATAATAAATAATATACAGACTGAACAACACAGAATAGGAAATCCTGAAGAATGACAGAGGAAGTAAGAAGACATGGACCACCAGCAACATGATTGGGATCCAGTCCCATTCACTCAATGGTTAAATGAAGTACATTAGGATTCAGATCATCCCACATGACTGACTACAGTTCAAATTCGGGCTGGAGCTATTTAGAATACATAATCAGTACATATATGCTCAAAATCTTGATGGGATGGAGAAATGGAGAAGAAATTATAACAAAATCACATATCACTGAAGGTGCTGTTTAGATGAGTACATATGTCCACTGATCTAACAACAACAAAAAAAAATGGAGTCAAGAGTTGCGTGGAGCACAATACATGAGGGCAACTGGGTAAATTCAGACCAGAAATGAGAAAATATGGGAAGAAATTTGAAGAGGAAGATACAAGGGGGGAAAAGGTATTTATAAGGCTATGTATGAAGGACAACAAAGGAGAAATATAGAAAAGACAGAATGATACAGAAAACATATGCAGAAAGATATATGGTGAATAACAATTTACAAGTAGAAAAGGGAATAAATGAAATATCTGAGGTGAGAATATATACACAAAGGAAAAGACATACAGAGACAATACACGTCAAGAGACAGACAGAATGGGTAGAGAGGAATTAGTGAGAGTTGGAAAGCAGAGATGCTGATAAGAAAATGAGAACGTACTTAGAGAACAATATGAGAGTAAACATGCACACACAGGAAACCTGAAGGGTAGATATATGGACAAGAAGATAAGATGACCTGGTAGGAGATAAAGCAGGTAAGTTATCAAGAGAGATGTGTCCAGTGGTACTAATCATACCTTTCTTTCCCAGATAAACAGGAAAAGAGAACAAAGCAAGGCAAAAAACATATACAAAAAGGGCCACATAAGTTAAAGTTTTCCTAAAACCAGAGCCTTAGCCAACCATCTTTACTTAACAGAGAAGGAAGGGATTGATTAATGAGGAAGCTTAGCTAGACAGGTCCAAATGGAATGGTGACACCTGGACAACTGGACGAACATCCTCACCAACAAAGGCACTCTGCAATTCCTGGTCAGAAACATGGATCTTGATGCCAGACTTAGGTGTGAACTCAGGGACCTGCACAGACCGCAGGACTGTGGCCACTGCAGCTCGGTCCTGGGAGCCTGTCAGCCCATAGGTCTGGGCAAAAAGGTTGGCAGCAGCCACAACGTAGTCCAGATGCAGAGGCTAAGTAAAGGCAGGACATGGAAAAGTGTACATATCAGCTTTTGAGTAAGAGCCTCCACTTACCTAACATCCACCTACCCTCCTCTTGACCCAGGGATGCCTGAGAGAAGACTTACATTGTTGACATCAAAAGTGAGTGGGTGTGGACAGCGTTTGGGCCCAGACCAAAATGGTGCTCCTGAGCTTGTGAGCTGAAAGGATTGAAACATTGAGAGAACTCTAGCAATCTCAACTTGGGCCTGAGGTCTAAAGTCTCATCTGGAAATTCACTTTGTTCCAGAAACAACATAGTAACTGAACAAACTTGAATTGTCAGTCAGTCAACAAAATAACTTTGTACTAATAATCTAAATTAACATAAAACTCCTATAAGTCACCGTTATTCCTGCTTTACAAAAGAGGACACTGACGTTCTGGGAAAAAAAAAAAAAAAGACATGTCTTACTGTCAAATGACATCAAGTATGACTCACTCCTATGGAGGAGGAGGGAATCAAAACACAATCCCCTATTTGAGGGGAAGTGACTAGGGGTCTAAACAGTTTATGCACAAAACACTGGTTTAATTATTTCTCTGAGATAGTCCCATGCCTGCAGAAACCTATTCTTAACCATGAAATAGCCATGACAGCTAGATTAACAAGAATGAACCATGTTAAAATGAAGTAGCAGGCTTTTATTTTCCTGTAAAATGTAGTCTACCAAAAAACCCAGGAGATATATAGGTATGTAGTACAAAACATCTGTTTTAACACTGCTTTATAGGCTTTCCTTGCATGCTGGGCATAAGAGTAAGAGAACTAAAGCAATACCTGGTCAGGAGGGAAGTTATGCAGCAGCTGTTGGATGTTGTGTGAGTACTGGGTGTGCCAATGGTGGCATGCCCAGGTCACACAGTCAGCCCATGTGTGTGGTCGTTGTAGCACCAGGCTGCGCTGCACAGCCTCCAGCACTTCAAAGGGCTGGGAACCAGTCAGCTTCAGTGTCCGCTCCACAAACTTAGGGTCGCTATCAATAATTCAAAGGGACAAAGAAGACAATCAGTAGCTTTAAGAGTAGGCTTAGAACAAGTTCACTTTCTCCACAGAAAGCTAATACTAATTGCTAATAGTAACAAGCTCAAACATTCATAAATTCATTCAAAAATTACCATTGTTACAGTGATAGGGAAAGCAGGGAGAATGACCTCTGGTAGTAGAGCATTTGAGTTACTCACGTGAGGTAATGGTTGACATTTTCTGCAGGCTGCTTGAAGAGGCCTTCAAACTCATCCCGAATGCCCGCGTTACAAAAGATGACTTTGACGTTCTGGGAAAAAAAAAAAAAAAGACATGTCTTACTGTCAAATGACATCAAGTATGACTCACTCCTATGGAGGAGGAGGGAATCAAAACACAATCCCCTATTTGAGGGGAAGTGACTAGGGGTCTAAACAGTTTATGCACAAAACACTGGTTTAATTATTTCTCTGAGATAGTCCCATGCCTGCAGAAACCTATTCTTAACCATGAAATAGCCATGACAGCTAGATTAACAAGAATGAACCATGTTAAAATGAAGTAGCAGGCTTTTATTTTCCTGTAAAATGTAGTCTACCAAAAAACCCAGGAGATATATAGGTATGTAGTACAAAACATCTGTTTTAACACTGCTTTATAGGCTTTCCTTGCATGCTGGGCATAAGAGTAAGAGAACTAAAGCAATACCTGGTCAGGAGGGAAGTTATGCAGCAGCTGTTGGATGTTGTGTGAGTACTGGGTGTGCCAATGGTGGCATGCCCAGGTCACACAGTCAGCCCATGTGTGTGGTCGTTGTAGCACCAGGCTGCGCTGCACAGCCTCCAGCACTTCAAAGGGCTGGGAACCAGTCAGCTTCAGTGTCCGCTCCACAAACTTAGGGTCGCTATCAATAATTCAAAGGGACAAAGAAGACAATCAGTAGCTTTAAGAGTAGGCTTAGAACAAGTTCACTTTCTCCACAGAAAGCTAATACTAATTGCTAATAGTAACAAGCTCAAACATTCATAAATTCATTCAAAAATTACCATTGTTACAGTGATAGGGAAAGCAGGGAGAATGACCTCTGGTAGTAGAGCATTTGAGTTACTCACGTGAGGTAATGGTTGACATTTTCTGCAGGCTGCTTGAAGAGGCCTTCAAACTCATCCCGAGCCCACTATAAAGTAAATGGATTACATAGGACAATAGTGGAGAAGAATAGCTTGCTGGAGGCATTGGAAAAACCAACCAAGTTAAAAAGAGAGCATGGCTGCTCTGAAGGAACAGAAATGTGCAGTCTTCCAAATGTAGCTCCCCATTTCTACAACTTTGCACCTCTATCACAAAATTACACACTAATGACCCTAATCCACACAGGGATGACATAAATATATTATGTGACAAAATTTAATTTTTAAAAAGTATGTTCGAAGCAAGTGGCATAGAGGTTGCTAAATCCCACATGGACAACTGGACAGTTCATGTCCTAGACCCAAAGACTGAAAATCATGCTGAGCACATGGATGTGTTTGCCCCAAATCCCAAGTATGGGAAAAGGATTGTGGTGTGGCCATCTCCTTTGAAGGGTAATTTTAGTGAGAACATGGGCCCTGCAGTGCCCCGCCCCCCCAAAAAAAAGTATGTCTGCTATTCTTTGTTTCAATGGAAAAGAAAAACTTTACATTGTAAATTAAACAAGGATAATCCCTAAGCAGATCTGGGTCTGGGGAATTAGCAGAAAAATGAGAAACATGAATAGAGATTGTTTATCACAGTATTTTTGTCTTCTGAGAAAGATAAAATAATTAACAGTCATCACTACAATGGCCTGGAATCACCACACACTGGTGATTTGAGTTTAAATCTCATTTCTGTCACACTCTACTTGGTTTTGTAACTTCACACACACTGGTAACATTTCTCTCTTCCTCATTTTTTAAATTTGCCAGAGGGTGTGTGTACTCCCAGAGGAGGGTAGGGGAGAAGAGAAAAAAATAACATAAAGGGATTGTTGCATAAACACGAATGTCTATGCCACAATCCCTATCCCTTTAAGTCAGATGTCACATATGCACACACATGTACCAGCACGTTTCTCAAGCCATTGACCCATAACTCAAGACTGTAAAGTTGTTCATGTGGGATCCAGTTGCCTTAACCTACATGATAGGCTGACTCCCTTCGCCGTTTTTTTTTTTTTTTTAAAGTTTTTTTTTGTGTGTGTGTGATAGTGTGCATGTGCTCAACAGAGGCAGTGAAAGCAATTTGAGAATGATCATCCCCCCAGGGTGCATGGCCACACTGAAATTTCCTCTTTATTCTCTTCCTGGGACTTGGGGGAAACTACACATAGATCCAGCATTATTTTCAAGATGCCAGGTACAGAAGCCAAACCAGAATCAGCTATGCGGGAGACCAGCACCTTAACCACCACATCATTAGCTACAACCACTTTGCCTCATTTTAAAGACATGTATTACAACATTTATATAAAGGACTAACAAATACAACTTTTTCTACTTCCTTTTCTTATCAATCTCATATCCTCCTGAACATGTCCTCCAATAGTGCAGTAAGAATCATCCTATTGGCAAAGTAGTAATTTTTAGGCTGAACAAGGAATCAAAGATTAAGTCTGGATGCCAACTTATCTAGATGTGTTCACTTTTTCCAGGTTAGATGATAAATATGGTTTTGTATATGACTGTATTATACAGAAAGAATTATCCTGATAAAAGCAATTCTTGAGTATATATTGAGGAACAGTTATAGAAACTCAAATATTGATTTATTATCCAATATATTTCAGAAAGCTAGGGGATATGAACAAATTCATTCTGATTAACATGAAAATAATTTTGTTTACATAGTACATTATATTTACATAGGAACACATTCTCACTTTTTAGATGTATATGGAATTATATGGTTTACTTTTGCCTGAATGTTTCCAGAATATCTTAAAAAATTTTTTTAAAAAGGATCATTTCTAAAAAAATAAGCTACTGAATAAAAATGTGAGGGAAAGATACTTGGAGAAGATACATGCTACACTAAGACTTGCAGCCTCTAAATGAAATGATGACCAAGATACTTTTCCCTTCCATATCCACTCTCCCCAAGGGTGGTCACCTGAAGAGTGTGCTCGATGGCATTGGGAAAGTTCTTCAGTGTACAGATGGGAACAGACTTCTCAGGTGGGTCTTGGCTGGAACTGTAAGACTCAGTCAGGAATGGAATAACCACCTGCACATTGCCCTTGGTACCCAGTGTGCCTGATTCCAACAATGGTTTATGGTAGTACACGCAGCGACGGTCCATGTACAAGCCTAAGGGAGATGAAAGAGAATACAAAGAGAAGTGGGAGAGGAATCTCGATAAATGACAGAAAGCTATGTAACCTCAATACACATCCCAATATACAAATACAACTCTGCCCTTCTCTGCACCCATTTCAAACTCACGGGCATCTACATTGTCCAGGGCATTGGCCACACCATCCAGGTTTTGAAAGAAGTCATCATCATAGATACACTCTGTTTCAGGGCCCACACGGTTTTGGTGACTTGTCACTCTTATGTAAGGATTTATTTGACGCACAGCTGCAGCAGCTGTGTCAGACTTTAACTTCTGCAAAGGAGTGAGAAAAGATGTTATGCATGCATTCACCCAGTAAATTTTTACAGAATAATTCTAAGGACTGATTTAATTAAAAGTGGACTAGCCCACAAACTTAGCAGGATCCAATTTAGTAGAAGATGATGATGTTACAGTGCTGTGACAAATGTGGCAACACATGAGCAGAAAGGAAAACACAAAACAGGAAACAATGAATCAGATACCTTTTATTTCTTGATCATCATCTACTGCTTTTCAGATAATGGCACCCAGAATGAGTCAGGATAGATACATCCAAATAAAAGGTGCTAGTACATGGGTAAAAAGGATTACTTAAAAAGCCCAAGTCATATCACATTCCATTTTCAGTCACATTCCACTGAATCCTCCTTTTACTACATACTAAATTGTGCCCCACATCCCCACCCACAATCTGACATCTGTTTCTTAACTACAAAGTATATTCTAATTTCAGGACTTTTCTCACCTGCAAACATCCTTTTACTCCCCAACATCCTTGAAGTCTTTATAAAAATACAATCTTTCCAATAAGGCCTTCACTCACTATCGTTACATAATGATCTCAAAAACAATCTTAAAAAAAATTTCCATTATGTAGCTATCATTATTTCCCATATCAAAATTCAAACTGAGAAAATACAGGAATAGCAGTCCATTTTAAATGCAATAAATCCATTACAAATAGCATAAACATTTTCATAAAAAAAAATCTTTTAAGTATAAAACTTCAGTGACAAGCCTCAGCTGGATTCATACAACCACTGTATTCAGTGTTTTGTATTTTCCATGAAGAATGGGAAGACTCAGCATCAAAAATGATTACTTAAATAATATTTTAAAACATACACATCACCTTGACAAGTGATAAATGTTTTCAAGTTTAGCTGGTTACCAAATGTCATCTCAAATTTTATCATTATCCACTGGTTTGTTTTACACCTTGACTGGACTTTTACTTAGTATTTGATGTTCCCTGGTCATTTGGAAAAACAAGTAGTCTCTGAAAAGTTCACAGTAATTATGTACAATGAAATAATTTTGTGTAAATTTGAAATGTTTTTGCCCCAATAAACTTGTATTTTAACTGTAATTTCAATGAACTTTTAGAAGCCTTTTTGACTACTTTACTGAGTAAAGAAACACTTCATAAAATAAAATGAAAAATTCCACTTTACTTTGGTATTTGGGAAAACCAAAAAAGACAAATGTCTGAAAATGTGAAAAAACAGTTGAGATTGTTGAATTGCCTGGTGGTTAATGCAGTCAGAGCCTACATGGCCAACAATGTAATTTGAATCCTAGCTCCAGTAGCTTGAAAAATATGCCAGGGTATTTCTATGCCCAGAATATCAAAAGGATAGAGAGGGGAATGCAGCATAGCCATGCCCTGCTGAAAGAGTGCTTTCCTCCCCCTCAGTTTCACTCTCTACTCCTAATGATGACTGACACACTCTGTCAAATTAGTGAACTTAACAGTGATGTGATATACTCAATAAAAAAGCTACAGACCTCCAAAGGACACTGTACAGCACAGTGAAGATTTCTAAGTTACTGTGCAGCCTAGTGTTATAAAGCTTAAAACAAGTAAAAGATTCTGACAATAACAACAATGAACTTTACATAAAAATTCCTGAATAATCCCTCTGTAAGGAGCTTCATAGTCCTAGTTTAGCAATTACTGAAAATCAAAGAAAACAAAAATGAAGGATGGGAGATATTTCTAAAAATTACCAATGAAAGGGCTTATGAGGCATTCAATAAACATGATAAAAAATTATAATTTACTTGTAGGAGCTGACAATAACAACAATGAACTTTACATAAAAATTCCTGAATAATCCCTCTGTAAGGAGCTTCATAGTCCTAGTTTAGCAATTACTGAAAATCAAAGAAAACAAAAATGAAGGATGGGAGATATTTCTAAAAATTACCAATGAAAGGGCTTATGAGGCATTCAATAAACATGATAAAAAATTATAATTTACTTGTAGGAGTGTTACTATTTTCAGTTCCAAGTCAGAAGTAGATTTGAATTTTAATATGTCTAATATGTGATACATTTTGGAAACTTTCCTCTATTTTTAGGGAAAACTCTGATTTAAAGAAGTCTAGAAAAGAGGAAGTGGAGGATTAGCTATGTAATATATCATCTTTAACGTTTAAAACTGGCAAAAGCTTCAGTTATCATCTGGTCCAGTTTTTTTACTGTTAAAGTGAAAATACTACTGTTTCTTTCTTACATTAGAGAGAAATTTTTGCTGTAGGGAACATGCACTCACCAGAGAGACAAGAAGTGAGAAATTGCCCCTAGACCTCCCCAGGGGAGAAGGCTGCACTGCAATCCCTTCTCTTTTTCTCCTGGGATTTTGGACACAAAATCACACACACCCAGTGTGAATTTCAAGCTTTGGGGATCTGGGACTGAAATTGATCGACCATGCAGGAGTCCAGTACCTTAATCACTATACTACCTGCTGGCCCTACTGCTATTATTTTCAAAATCAGGCAAGTTAAAGCTATGCTAAGATTAGAATGATTTCTTTGGACACCTAGACACATACCGTATGTTTCAAAATACTGCATATAATAACTTTTGGGGGGGAATTAATATTTTCATAGTATAAAACAAAAGCACATAAAGTACTATTTAATAAAAACATTCAGTTTTTCTAAAAAAAAAAAAAAAGATTGAATGGTAGTAGAAAAAATAAGAGAAAGGTTGACAAAAATAGGTGAAAAGACCCAAGACAAAGCAGAAATGAACAATGAAGTAGTAAAGGACATTCACTGCTCACTCCTAAGCACACCCCACTGACCGTGACATCCCAGGGCCGGAAGAGAAACTGCCGATTCAGGTTGGACTTCTCAATGGTGTCCATATCTGTAACTGTGATTTCCCCACCTTCCCCACAGCCTAGCCCAATCATGGCAAAGTTCTTAAGCAGCTCACAGCCAATGGCCCCAGCACCCACCTGTAAAGTGGCAAAAAAGAGAGAGTCAGGTCATAGTAACTGAGAGTACACCTATGTCAAGGCCACATATCACACCTCACTTCTTCTGGAGATAACAAGAGATTTTAAGAGGGTCTAGCACATATTTAGAACTACACAGTTAAGTTCCAGGGCCATAAAACCTATGGTTATCTGAGATAAAAGGCACCTGGGAAGAAGGCTATGAGAGACAAATGTATTTATGAGACTTGCTTTCAATACACAGAAAATGAAAAGGAAGGTACAATCATGGTTATGATAACCAAAAAAACCCTCCCTTGGGAGGCAGGAGAATCTAGAAGAGGTAGGTACTGACCAAGAGAGATCAAAGTAGAAGGTGCACAAGAGATTCACTCACCAGAAAGTACTTCTGCTTCCCCAGCTTCTTTTGTAGGTCTGAGCCAAATACAGCCACTTGCCCGTCATAACGGTTCTGGAGCTGAATCATGTGAAAAAAGAGAAAGGTCAGAGAGAATCATCCCTGTAGAAGCACTAGTCGTAATTACTTCCCCACAGGCCCTACGGACATACTGGAAGACACTTATCTTCTGTTAAGCCTGCTCTGTTCTCAGGAAGACACTCAAGAGCATCAAAGTACAGCCACTGCATGATAGGCATAAACTTCCCAGAGCAAGCCTGGAAAGAATGTAATCTATGGTTAATCTGGGCCTAAAACATAGAGTAGTAGTAAATAGTAAAAGACAGAGATCACATCAACCATGCATCTTCCCAACCATGCTGACCTTCATGACCTCCTGTGCAGCCAGGCCCCCAATAAAGGCATTTATAGGTGCAAGATCTCCACCAGCCACATATGCCAGTTTCCGAATAAGGTCCTCATCCAGGATGTCTTGTTGTACTGCTGGCAGAGCTTGAGCATTCACAGCCTGTGCTAGAGCCACCAGTTTTGTTGCATCCTCCTAGCATGCAAAAAGGAACCAAGAGAGGGCCTCTAGGACTAATTCAGGAGAGAGAGGAAATCTAGGAAGATGGAAAGGCATAGTTGGGATATAAATCAGAAACCTTGACATGTTCACCCATTCACTCACCTCATTGTGTGGCCGAGGTACCCGATGGTACTGAATGTAAAACTGGTGCAGGGCCTGGAAGCCTATATGCAGGTGAGCAGGGCGTGCATACTTAGCAAAATCTGTTATCACAAAGTCTGGCTCTGCCAATGAGGCTGTTAAGGATTTCTGTTGTAAGAAGAACATCAGGAAATGTAGTTTTTCACACTGCTATGCAAAAATGCATCAAACTCATGGCTCAACCTCCCCATCCCCCAAACCTATACTTACGAAACCGATCTTCTTAGATACTTTGACCTGACTGACAATGCCTCCACGAACATAGTCAGAGAAGCAGGAGGTATCACAAACACTAAAGGTATAAGGACCTGAGAGATAAAACATGCTGGTGGGTAATCAATCAATAAGTGCAAGAAACCTCCTACCTCCACTTCCCGACAGCCACAGCATCATCACAAAAAGTCATAATGTCCCACCTTAGGTAACTGGAGGCCTCTGGCCAAACGCTACAGAAACCACCTCCTTTTGCCTCAGGAAGCTCAGTCATAATAGGGACCCTACTATGCCTAAAAACTCCCCCCCAAAAAAACTTCTGTGTTTAATCTTCTAGTTTATGTAAACATCAAAGGGCCAAATCTAAAACTCACACCAGGCGCATGTGCGTGCGTGCCCAAGATCCTGAGAGGAGAATGGAGGAGAAGGAATTGCAGTGTGGCCATCCCCCCTGGGGAATGATTTCTCGCTTTGTCTCTGTGTCTCTCTCTGTCTGGCGAGCGCACGCGCCCTATAGCAAAAACCTCTCCAAAAAAAACAAAAAACAAACAAACAAAAAAAAAACCCCAAAAAAACAAAACTTAATTCTCATCAGACGAATTCTCACTCCACATTTAATACTTTACACATCAAGTATCCTACTCAGAGGGTCTATCTTAATAAGATCACATTAAATCCAGAATAAACAATAGCTCTGAGGTGATCCAGTGATAACTAGTCAAGTCTTTCTAAGAAAAAACTTGAATTAAAAATAAAGAAAAGAGGAACCGTCAGTTA